CTCCGCACGGTTGCTCTCACCTGCTCTCTTGAGAATCCCATTGTGGCAACCTTCTCCACTACATCGTCAAGTGGCACTCTATTGCCTGAAGAACCGCTGGTGCTGGAGGAGCTGATTGGCACTGCTTGTGGTAGTATTTGAGCCGTGGGGAGCCTGCCACTGCCATAGCTGCCACTTCCCCCGGAGGATTGAGCAAAAGGTGAAGACGGCTTCATTCCAACATTGCCGCGGTGGGAAGGAGATCCAGTGTAACCATATGATTCAGAGAAACCACTTCCACCCTGTGGCCCGTAACCACCAGAACCGTAGGATGATGGCGGCCCAGGGTTAGCCTGGCCTGCAGGAGGTTCATACATGCTAGGGTTTTGCTGTCCATAGTAAGGAGGAGCAGGTGCACTAGACGGTTGCATATAAGGTGAAGGAGGGCGTGTATTAGGTGGATAGCTCTGAGGCGGTGCATAAGGCATAGTTTCCTCTGGTTGCTGGGGTGCAGGGGGCACATGGGGAGTTGGAGGGTTAACATTTGCAGGCTGAGGTGGCTGTGAATATTGAGGGAACTGGGATGGGGATTGGTACTGCTGAGGTGCAGGAGGGGCCTGAGGCTGTGGAACTGGCGGAGCTTGATACTGCTGGTGCATGGTTTCAGTCGGCTGAGAAGATGGAGCATAGTAAACATCCCTTGGTAAAGCCAGAACTGAGGGAACCGGTGCAACAGAAGGCACAGATGGTACCTGTGAATGTTGTAAATGACTTGGAAACTGTGACGGTGGTTGGCTTTGGAGCGTTGGGGGTGGAGGTGGTGCATTTGGAGCAGGAAGGGCAGGAAGTGCAGGTGGTTGCGAAGGGGTTAGGACTTGCTGTGGCTGAATGGCTGCTTGTGGAGGAGCCACCGGCTGCTGCTGTGAACTAGCCTGTCCAGACCCACTATTTTCTGATGACTGGGCATCAGTTTTGGTTGTCTGGAGCTTCGCAAGCTGGAGCTGTCTCTCAACAATTTCCTGCTTGTCTCGCAAAATCTGCACACCTGCTTGGACCTGCAAGTAATAAAGTGCTTAGTTTGCTGCATTTTTCTTTTACAACAACCATATATTCATAGGACTAATATACAGGATAATATATCCCATGAGTGTCCTTAACCAAGCAACAATACTTAAACAAGTAAGAAGAAAAGCAAAGGTACAGAAGGTTCGGATGTTAATGACATCTAACACGAGGATGCAACCTAATCATCTTATTTGTGTATGATTGGATCCATCTTCTAAGCTAAGCCTCTAAAATCCAAACAAATAAATATGCAGTTATGTACTGAGAGAGGGAGACTAGTAAAAATAATTAATTTGCATCTAACAAGTCAACTTCAAAAAAATTGAACTTAACTCTAATAAGTACAGCATGAAAAATCTGTTGAACAACAATGACCAACAGTGAGTGAGCACATCCAGGTCTATGTACTATAAAAAATGAACAAGAGACAGAAGAACATGTACCAAAGTAGCAAATCAAACATACATGGACTATCTTGCTTAATCCTATGTGCTGCTACAATCAATAGATGATGATATAACATTTTGCAGCAATAAACATGAAACGTTGTAAATCCCCCATTTGGATGGAAAACATTATCTATAAAATATGGTATGAACAAAAACAGTAACATGAAACAGGTCTATAAAATGTGTAGTCACTCAAAAGTGCATAAATGTTTGCTATTGCATTACAGAATCTTTTCCAGTACATATAGAGCAAAGACTAGCAGGCTAAGGAAGGAAGAGTCACAGGTAGCCTACCTCCCTAAGCATGTTCTCAACGTGCCTGAGTTTTCCATCAGTGCTACCATTATAGTTACCAATTGTTAACTTCAACTCATCAACAGAGTTTTCTAGTTGGTGCGTTCTACCCTCCATCTGTGAAAGCCTTGAGCTTACACCTTCCAGTGCATGCAAAAGGTTATCAGAGTACTTCTTCATGGTTCGATCAATATCTGCGATAGTAACTGTAGGGAAGTTACTCCTGTCTTCCTCATGACTAACTTTCTTCAGCACATGTGGCTCCAATATACCAGAACTCTATCCAGCATAAGAAAGATTGTAAGTATATAATAAAGGAGAGGTTATTGATGTCATGACTTTAAAGTTTTGAACCATCAATGATGAACAGTTAATTTGGTCTTTCAAAGAAACACAGTGCACGCACATGCTTCAATTATATAAATAGATATGACTTTACAAGCCAAAAAAAACTGGAACGGATGCCTGTTTTGCACATATCAATAGATAGCTGATACTCGGTAAAGTTAAATCACAGTAATAACTAATTAAGCATTACACATTACACAATGCAATCGAACTTGGCTGATAAAGGGTGAAGAGTATAGATAACTATGTAATTGAACTTGGCTGAAAAAGAGTGAAGAGTATAGGTAACTTGTTAGATGGAAGAAATGGGGAACCATGTACAGCTCGGGTGTGCTTAGTTTAAATAGGGAACAGTAGGTGAAGCTATCCAGCTGTCCATGTACAATATCTTATAACAGTCTATCAACAAAAATATTTGTAGTTTCTGGCAGAAATAAACTTTGAACACAATTTGACAGCACTGATTTACTAGCGACATTGTGACAATCAATATAAGAACATTTAAATTCCCATATGTGTTCGTAGACCCTTTATCTAACAGACTAACATTGAGACGTTAGTGTGTATCACAAGATAATCATTCAAACTATACTTCACATGAGTCTTTGGTGTGGGCTGCATGCGATTAAGTTTATCAGTTGACTATGTTCACTCAATTGAAACCGGCTACAAAAAATGGTCGGTCTTTTCTGCTCATCCATCCCATTTCGATTACGAAAACACATTAACATATGGAGTACACAACCAGTAAGTAATTGCAATTTGCAAATTTCAACAGTGATTACGAGTTAAAAGTTCTCTAACCAAACTACTCGCCTGATGAAGTGATGACCTATACAGGGATAAAAAGTTCGGAACCTGCGTTCGACTCAGCAAATAGCCACAGAGCACTACGAGATCGGGACTCGGGAGATCTAGCGGGAGTACCACCACCGACCAGAAAAGCGGGGGTCATACCATGAGGTTATATGAGGCGGTGGCTGAAGCGGAGGGTGCCTTGGAGTCGAGCGACCCCCACGAGGCCTGGGGCGCGGGGGCGGCGGCACCGCCGCCGGTGCGGATGGGCTGGAAGTCGTAGCTGGGTAGCATGTCGTCTGCCGTCCCGTTGACGCTGCTGCTGCTACGCCGGCGACGGAGGCCGTCCTCGCTGTCCTCCTGGGGGATCGGGATCATCAGATCGCTGAGATCCACACCCCCACCGCCCCCGGCGCCGCCGCCGAAGGGGGAGGCGGAGGCGGCGAGGCCGAGGATCTGCTTGTCCATGAACTGCGACGCGTTCATCTCCTCGCCGCCTCGGTTGGTGGAGAGCTGGGTGCGGAGGGAGCTGGAGATGGTGGTGAGGTGAGAAGGGGAAGGGGAGCGGAAGAAGAATCCGGATGGGACAAGGAGGCGAGGAGAGAAGGGACGGAATGGCGAGTCGGTTCGCTTTGCTCCGGGCCTCCAGCTCTGCAATCCGCGTGTTACTTGGGCCTAATTTGGGCAGACACCTGGGCTGGATCTGGGCTCCTGTTTGCTACTATAGGTAATGGAGGGAATGTTCTCGCTTCTCCTTTTTCAATGGAAGAAATAAGTACTACATTATTACAAGATTGGCTCACACGAGAGTATACTTTTCACCATTAAATGGTGAAGAACAAATCATAATAAAAAGGAAGTTTAATGTTATTGACCATTCCTAAGATAGAAGCCCATCCATGGGAAGCAAAAAATTTTACATAGCTGTGTAGCCTAACCAATATCAACGCTTAGAGCATCTCCAAAAGACTCTCAACATCCTTCCTAAATGTTAGAAATAGAAATTTTGGTAAAAATTACTCTCCAACCGTTTTTCTAAATGGTCATTCAAATATAGCCATCTTTTATTCTTGATTTTTCGCTAGCCAAATATAGAAGACGAAAATGACTCTATAGAGTGTGCATGAGATATAGAAAAACTGTTAGAGCGTAAAAAAGATATAGAAAGCTTATGCAAATAACTCCCCAAATGATGATTTAAAGAGTGAGATTTAGAAAGGCTTTTGAAGATGCTCTTAGAGTAACGAAACCCGCCTGTACTGTACTATCCATCCATAGAGTGATCAGAGAATTTGATTTTTGCATCATGAATCATTTTGGAGAATTTCCACTCTGGAGTATTTACATCTGTAGCATTGAGCCTTGGAAAAATAAATAACCATAAGGATTGATGGAACCTCAGTATGTTCATTGACGTTATTTCAATGGGAAAAAGTCCAAGTCGAGCAGCATGATCATATTTTTAGCGTGAATGACGTGGCTGCCTGAATCGGCTTGTCTATATGACAAAGAGATTGACATGCTATTTAGATAAACTCTAAATTCAGCGTTTCTTGATGCAAATTATTTGAAATATATGGTGGATATTTGAAATATGCAAATTATTTCATGTTTTTGTTTGCCTACCAATTTGTGCTAATTTTGAGACTTGGATTTTCGTCTGAAGTTTGCTTTTTAAAAAGGAAATCAGCCTTTGCCATTGTTGCTACTTCGAGCTAGGAACTAGACTTCCCATAAAAAAAAGCTAGGAACCAGACGGGGTATTCAGGAAATTCATCATCTTGTCAACGTATCTGCACTTCTGCGGAACGGCAGAATTTTTTATTCTGCATAATACGCATTCACGGGCACTATCTTCTACAGTGTATTCATGCAGTGCTCAATTCAGAAGTAATCAGAAAATTAGAAGAAAACACTCATTAATTCACACCATAAGAATTCTTACAAAAGAAAGAGCAAACAAACAAAATTAAACTGTTAGAGCTGTAAAACTTGGTGCGCTCTAAACATTTGATTATTGCGGCCTAAGCAGGGCAATGGTGCGGGAGCAGAGTCATGCGCCCGTCCGGCTCAGTAGACGTACTCGACGCGACACAGCTTCGAGGACGACCCCGACCACGGCACGTCGACGGTGACCATGCCGTCCCTGTACGCGAACTCGGCTTCCTCGCCGTTCACCTTGCAGAGCCTGGGCCTCGCCGACGAGTACGCCACCAGCTCCCCGGCGCCCTTCACGGACACCTCTGCCGTGACGCCGCCCGCGTCTTTCCTGGCCTCGAACGCCTGAACGGCGCCGGCGGTGTTGAGCATGTTGGCGAGGCCGATGGGCGCGAACTTGATGGCCCGCTCGGGCGAGATGACGCGCACGGGGGCGACGACGAGGAGCTCGTAGGTGAAGGACTGGAGCGTGAGGTCGACGCCCTCGTCGGGGCGCAGCAGCTGCAGCGTCCTAGCCTCGACCATGTACACGGCGAACTGGGAGACGCCCTTGACGCTGACGCCGGGCCCCGCCTTGCCGCTCTTCCACTCGACGTCGGCCGGCGAGGCGCGCGCGGCCAGGGGCACCGAGAACTCCGAGAAGCACTTGTTCCGCCGCGCCTCGGGGCTCCACCCGCCGCCCTGGCAGTTGAAGGCGCCGACGACGCCCGCGAAGCGGTTCACGTTCCAGATCTTGAGCACGGTCCGGCCGTCGTGGAGCGGGTCGGCGAAGAGGCAGTCGCGCGTGGGCAGCGCGTAGCCCTCGCACCGGAGGACGGTGCCGTCGGGGAGCGCCAGGCGGCGGAGCAGCGCGAAGTCGTGCTGCCCCACCGAGTCGCTGACGTAGATGGGCCCGCCGGAGACGGCGCGGGAAGCGGCGTGGAAGGCGGCGCAGGGGTGCGTGGACTGGAACATGTCCCAGTCCGGGTGGATGAAGTTGCCCATCCACAGCGAGTTGTAGGCGCAGTGCACCATGTGGCACCCCTGCAGCCAGAAGGTGCCGTTGGGGTCGCCGGAGGGGTCCGTGCACCAGAAGTCGTCGCCCACGCGGCCCAGCGCCACCGCCTCCGTGCCCAGCAGCATGAAGTCGTTGCAGTGCTCCATGCTCGCGATCACGCCGTTGCCGCCGAAGTGCCGACGCACCGACGCCGTCAGGCCGGCGAAGTAGGCCTTGGCCAGCTCAACGCGGCCGCCGTACTCCTCGCACAGCATCTCCAGCAACTGCACCAACAAGCACACACATACAACCATCGTTAGGAAACTGGCAATCTGTCACCTGTCAAACAGATACTGGATTCCTAATTACTGATGGCGTCCGAAGCTGTCTACTGTCAATTGGATTAACACGCGGATAAGGTTTCAATTTCATGCACAATTAATTAATTAGCAATAAGAAACTGTCTATTGTCATTGGTTACAATTTCATGCACAGTTAATTAGTAATCAGAAACTGTTACGTTTTTGCTCTTTTCTATCATCTAATAAAACTGCAGCAAACATTGTAAAAAAAAAAAAGAAACTGTCTGCTGTCAATTGGTTTCAATTTCATGCACAATTAATTAGTAATGAAACGATTGCATGAAAACGAAATAAGCAAGCCTCTCTATCACGTCCCGTTCAGAAATTATTAGCCCACGATGCGGTAACACAACCACCACAAATGTTGCTGGGGGTATATACACCGTACGATACAAGAGAAAAATTGCATTTCTGGAATGTTCCACTGTAATAAGTGTCCCAAAATGTTCAGAAAAAAGACTGTACTGAGAGTTTGTTGCGAGTTGCCTAGCGGGTGACTAACAAGTTAGGAAGACCAAACTATGGCAGCAATAAAACACAAGCTTAAGATTTACTGTGACCTTAAGGGCTCTTTTGGAACCAGGGGAGTAAAACCTAGGGATAGAAAACCCCCTCAGAACTACAATGATAATTAAAATGATATCCTCATAGATTATACATCAAGGAAAAGTCCGAATTCCAGAGGGATTGGAGTTTTAAATTAGGCCTAAGGCAACATGTGATAATCTTAGGCTATAAAATCCATGACATGCCCTAATTCAATCTATAGCCTGGTGCTGATACGATCGATACGATTGGATTATTATTACTGCTGGCTGGTTTGGTATGAAAGAAAAATAATGTCCTAACTTATAATCCACGATAGTTTACGACCAAAAAAGAACATGCGTAGTAGTGCCTAAATAGAGTCAAATAGCTAACGAACTACTGCAATTCAACAGCATAAACCAATTATTACAGAACTCTATAGTACAGGATGTTCCAATTATTGGACAGAACTCTATAGTACAGGAAACTTTCCCGAACTCATATGGACTGTGGACAGGAGCGCAGGGCCCACGGGTTTAGAATCAGCCGAACGCAGCCAAAGTGAGACCTAGTAGAATTATCTCGAAGAGTTTTTTTTTTTAAAATAGTACCAGTCCCACTCGTTGGATCCTGGCCTGCGGCCTGCCGGGCCGGGCGCATCCAGAGACCTCTCGGATGCACCCAGTGACGTGCTCACGTGCACCGATTAAATTAAATGGAAACCGAAAAAAAAAACTACTTCGAAGAAAAGGAAGGTTTCCCTGCGTAATCTTCTGCTAATAATCTAGTAGTTAGCAACGATTAACAAAAAAGAACAGGCGAAGAAGACTTACGTGAATGACGTCGACCTTGACGCCGTCGATGCCGGAGGCCTGGAGGTGGGAGTGCAAGCCCTCGTAGAGCTCGTGCGCGCGCTTGGGGTCGACGAGCCCGACGCCGTTGTTGACGATCTTGTCGACGGCGAGGTCCTCCATGGTGCGCTGAAGTCCCGGGGAGAGCTTGGGCGCCACCACCTTGGCCGGCGGCAGTCCGGGCGCGCCAGGGCGGAGGCCGCCCCAGTACCCGCACAGCGCGTGCCATACGTACACCTGCTCCACGGTCGGGAACGCCGCCTTCATCTCCTGCACGAACGCACCCATCCCGCCCTGCTTGTACTCCCGGAACTTGTGGTTCTCCTGGAACTTGATGAGGCGGCACGGCATCTGCTCGCCGGCGGAGGTGCGGTTCATGCCTTCCTCGCCGCTGGCCGGGTCGTCCTCGTCGTGGCAGATGGACTGCCAGCCGTCGTCGATGAGCACCAGCCCCGGCGGGCACCCGCCGTCGGACAGGCGGCGCACGCCCTCCCACACCCCTTCCGGGTGCACCTTGAGGTAGAAGGCGTCCCACGTGCACCACCCGAACTTGTCTACGATCGGCGGCGGCGTCTTCTCGTCCATGGTCCGGAACGTGCCCAGGTGCGCGCGGACCACCCTGACGGCGTCCGCGACGAGCTCGAACGGGTCGTCGCCGGCGTGCAGGTACAGCGCGCTCCGGAACGCGGCGCCGCGCATGGACGAGGATCCGCTCTCCACGCAAAGGTCCACGTAGTCCTCCGCCTTCCCGGCCTCGAGGCAGGCCCGGAACGAGCCCTCGATGATGGGGAGCAGCAGCACGTAGGGACGGCCGCCGCCGGCGCGGCGGCGTCGGCGGAACGGTCGAGCACCATCATCTGCGTCTCGTTCTCCACGTCCCTGCCGTTGTCGCCGACCCAGTGGGTCGTCCACCACACCTTGAAGCGGAAGATGCTCATGAACCGGATGTCAAGGAGCCTGCCGACGGGGACCACGTGCCGGCTCTTGGCCGCCGCCGCGTCGAAGCCGAGGAAGCTGCCGTCGCCGGCCGCCGCGGGAGCGTCCGCGGCGGGCACGAGCGTCGACGCCGGGGTGAGCCGGATGTTGGCCGGCACGTCCAGCAGGAACGGGTGGCCGTCCACGGCCAGGTCCTTGCCCTTGAGCGTGAACCGTAACGGCTTCAGGCCCTCCACCGGGGCCACCTCGTCGCCGCCGAGGAGGCCAGCAGGCGTCGTCTTGCTGAGGTTGGGAGCCATGACGATGGCACTCGCTCTGCCCTTGGCTTGTTGGCGATCTAGGCTGCTCTAGAGAATTGCGTTGGTTTAGTGTTTGGTTTGCCTGTTCGAGCGAACAGACCTTTGCTGCTTTGCGGAAACCTTGGCGGCCTATTGGCACTCATTTTATAGAGGTTTCGTGTGGGGATGGAACCCGTCGTTATGAAAATTATGTTTCCATGGAATGGTTTGTTCAGGCGCATATAAGGAAACAAAATTTTCACCGACCGAATTGCGTGTAGCGAAGCTTCGGCCGCTAATTAATCCGCGCCTTTTTTTATCGCGCTATTGTTTGCGAAACCTCTGTGTCTGTGTGCACGTGGCCTTGCTCAATATATCTTCTTTCTTGTAAAATCTGTGTCATCAATAGAAGATAGCGTTGCCATGGCATGTGATGGCCAGAGATTTTGTTTCCATTCCTCTTGATCAACGCCCACGGTAAATGGCAGCTAAGTATCCGCTTTGAGATTTTGTTGTGTAAATTTGGCGAGATTTACATATCACGAAATCCTCTAAGTTTGGATATTAGCTAGTAATGCAGCTCCATATATGTGGATATACTAGTAATAGGTGCACGATTTTGTCTCCTAGATAGATAAAGAAAAGGCGATACTAGTGTTGGAATGAAATTTTGTTGTTTTGCGCTGCAAGGGGGCAAACAGTAGATGTGTCCCATAATAACCATAAAAGGAAACGTTCGCACTTCCAAAATCTTTTTTTATTTCTTTCTTCGAATGGGGATTTTCAGTTTTTCACAACAGGCAGCAGCAGACTGGCCGGGCCCATTGGTGCCCAAGCTCGGGCTTCAAGAAATTGTGAGTGCTCGACAGCCGAGCCGATCCCATGCGATGCGACACGTGGTGGATCCAGAGGCGCAAGTCGCAGGCCTCGTGTCGTCTTCATTGCGCTAAAATCACGTCAACTTGTGGCGTCCGATGGACACGGTAACCGGGTGCGTTAAATACGTTTTGGGCCCGTCTAACAAATCATGAAGGAATTTGTACGATGAAAACTACTGTTTTGAATAAAAAAAAGAAATGAATTAAATTGAATTTAAGAGCACGTGAACATGGCCTTTGTGTTTGCTGGCTGTCACATAGTTGTCACGCGAAAAGGTTTGAATAGTAATAATAAAATAAGGTCTTGTTCGGTTTCTTCAGGCACTACTAAAATTTCCATCACATCGAATATTTAGACACATATATGGAGTATTAAATATAAACTAATTACGAAACTAATTATACAACTTGTAACTAATTTACGAGACGAATCTTCTAATTAGTCAATGATTTGACAACGTGGTGCTACAGTAAACATGTGCTAATGACAGATTAATTAGGCTTAAAAATCATCTCGTAAATTAGCATTCATCTATGTAATTGGTTTTGTAATTAATCTATATTTAATACTCTTTATTACTATCTAAATATTCGATGTGACATGAATTTTAGGAGCGACTAAAGAACCAAACACCCTATAAATTATACAAGTTTTTTTTAATTCACAAGATAAATTTATTAAATCTAATTAATTCGTTATTAGCACATGTGTTACTGTAGCACCACATTATCAAATCATGGACTAATTAAACTTAAAAATTCGTCTCGTAAATTAGTCATGATCTGTATAATTATTTTTTAGTCTATATTTAATACTTTATTCACGTGTCTAAATATTCCCTAAAGCGTTTAGAGGGGAAACAAACGATAGAATCGGGAAAAAAAATAGAACGTGGACCACCAGATCCGCCACAATTCTGGACGGTTCCGCGTCTACAGGCCGTGGGCCAGGCGTGTCCAACAAAGGCACGGTCTTTTCTTTCCCCTTTATAAAATTTTCTATATATATTTTCTATCTATAAAAGATAATAAAGTTTAAATTTGAAAATACGTATATACAGATCTTATATTAAGACGGAGAAAGTAATCTTGCAGGTAGTGTGTTTGTTGTCTAAAAGATTGCAAAAATATACCTTCCTGTTGTCGTCACATAGTGACCAAGTATTAGAGTACTCCCCATCAAAAAAAAAAGAACGCAGCTCTGAGATTTGTGTAAGTTAAATTAACTTAACTTTGATCAAGTTACAATGAATATTGTTAATATTTATGTCTTCAACATAATTTACTATGAAAAATATATTTTATAGTTAATTTAATAGTACTCATTTTATATCATAAATTTTAGTATATTTTTTTATATAATTTGGTTAAACTTTAAATTGTTTGACTCATCGAAAGTGATAATTAAATTTTTTGAGCGATCGAAATAATAATGAGTGTACTCCCTTTTGTTTTGAAAAATAGCTTATCTTGATTTTGTTCTAAATCAACATATGTTAGTACACTATTCTATAAACTTGTTAAAATTAAGAAAAACTTGAAATGAAACCAAAATGAACAATTTAGAACTAAGGAGTATGACTATATGGATCCCAGTTGAGAGGGAAATCTATATCTTAATCTCCTATGAGTAACTGATCTACCCATCTTCTAAACAACATACTCATGTGAGTTTGGATGAAAATAAAATTGTATATGAAAAATGTGGATCTTGAAAATATCTTCAACATTATTCTGCCATGGTGTTGTGCAAATAATTACTACTAAATCCGTTCCAAATTATGATTCGTTTGACTTTTTTTACCCCTGTTGACAATCAAATTGGACCCAAGTCAATTTAAATAGGTTCATGACAGTTTTGGTCCAATCTAAGAAAAACTCCATAAAGCGACATGATATTAGTACCATATTGGTTTTCCTATATGATAAGACCACCCCAACCCCTTATAAAATAAAGGGTACATGGCCGATTGAGTTCTCATCTATCCAATCTACACAAAAACACAACAAATCAATCTACTACCTCTTTTTACCCTCTTTTCCCAATCTATCTCTTCTCCTCGTTCTTCCTCGGTGCTGCATGGCTGGAGGATCGACGACGACGATGACGCTCTAGAGCGGTCAGGTCAGCTAGAGCAACCCATAGCCGTCGCATGCCGTGACGGGGTCCTTCCCGGGCGTGGGGGGTTTTGGGTCTCAAGAGACCTCGCCAGCGTGTCTTGCATATTGCACTCCCGACGAGGCTCCTCCGGCGACGTGTCTTGCGTATCGTGCTCATCGCTGGAGGCACAAGGTCCCAGTGTGGACATACCCTAGGCGCCGGCCAATCCCAAAATCGGCTAGGCCCGACATCGAGCGATCTAGCTCCTTATCGAGTGTGTGGCCTAATTAAGCGTCAACACACTTTTTGGCGACTCCGCTGGGAAACGATTGGTTCGGCTATCTCCTATAGCCGATCTTTCTGACCTAGCCTATTCATTAGTTCCAATCTATCATTTTTGTGTTCTCATTACCGTTGCTTAATCTGGCCTAAAAGGCCGAAAACATTTGGTCTTGATCTCCCCTTATCAAGATGTGGAACAACGGTCGCAACGACGAGTTCACCAGTCCAATGGGTGAGGAGATCCTCATCAGGTCTACAACCATAGCTAAGCTGAAGGTAGATGGGATTACTAAAGATTCTCCTCTTTTCTGTACTATGGTTAAAATGAATTCTGCATTTGATAAGTTAGAGAAAGAAATCTTTGGTACTCCTATTACTTCCTCACCTCATGTTTCACATACTCGTGAATTGTCCTCGGATTTTAGTCAACCTCAATATTGAAAGTGCAATCAAACCCTAATTGTGGGTTTTAGTGATAATGACCACACAATTAGAGAACTAATGAGATTTATCGAGATGACAAGCAGGCAATTCATGTTCGAGGATGCTACACAAAACAGAGGAGCCCCCAATTACAAATGTAGATGGCTTCAAACTCAAAAGAGGTTTAAATTCTTTTATATTTTGAATTTGAGTATAGGAAAAGCAGTACTATAAAGGAGGACACAATGCTTAAGCTAATATATGCTACCGAGTGCTCAAACATACACATGCATCCTCAGATTCACAGCCAAGACAATCTACACTTCACTCTTACCCTTGCTGTCTTGCATGGTGCGGCACTGCCATACTTGAAGAGAGGCACTGCCGCACTTAAGCCGCAACACTACCATGACTTAAGTGACCATTGGGGGCTAGGGGGTATTTATACTCCTCCTCTTCCTCCCCAACGGCTCTCTTCTTCCTTCTGCTCATTCCAGCACGCCCAAGATAGAAAATGAGCCCTCTCTCTCTCCCTCCATTAGTGACCTTGAGCCCTCAAGCAAATCCATTGACTCTCCCATCAATCCTTGAGAGAAAAGGGTCCAAAACTCGATTAGAGAACAGCTCCATTGATTCCCCAACTCTAAAGAGCACTTAGTTCACGTTTTGGCCGGCGGTTGTGTTTGTTACTCTTGGAGCTTGGCTCCTAGCCAGCTAGAGCATCGCCCGTGGAGCTTACCAACTTGTGTGGCAGCCCCGGAAGGTTTGTAACCATCTCTTGAAGTTAGTAAACTCACCCCTCATATCAAGAGTTAAGTCTCTTGGCTTGAGAATGAGGAAGGGTTGGAAAGCTCTAAGCCTTAGTGGCTAACCTCAACAACATGGAGGTAGGCAAGCCTTGGTGGCGGGCCAAACCAAGGATAAATCATTGTGTCACTTGTGCTTGATTTACATTACTTGCATGACATATTGTGTTTGAGGTGATTTCTAGGGTTTCTAGTCGATCTACTTGTGTGTGGTGTTCCTACTACTTCTAGCTCTTGATCTGTGATTGTCATACCTACAGTAAGCTAGGAAATTTTTTCGATCTAAGTTTTCGTTCACGGATTTTGAACTGACTCGGAGTTGTCTGTAGGTGCGGCAGTGCTGTTGTTCTGGCCCGACAGTGCCGCAGGGTGAATCTGATAAAAGTTTGAGTGTTTGTTTTGATAGGTCTATTCACCATCTTCTAGGCCAACCAGAGATCCTACAAGTGGTATCAGAGCAGGTTACCTCATATACGTTTCACCGCGTGAGGTATGGAGGCCAGAGGAGGAACTAGTAGCGTGAAGCGGGTG